CATTAAATTATGAGAAAATAACACCATTGGAATCACAAAATAATGCTCAAAGAATCAAACCCAAAGATCAACAAGAGATCACATTGTGAAAGATGAATTATCCAACTTACCAAAGGTAGATCTAGAGAATTATCAAAACAACTTCAAGAATTGGCTTCAATTCAACCCTAAGAATCAATTGATCAAGCTTAGATGTAGAGAATTGATAAAGGAAAAGTGTTTGGATGAAGTTTTAGCTCAAAGATTAGTAAGCTTCAATGCAAAGCTTACTACCTTTTTGAAAATGGAGCTTTGAGTGAATTTGGTAGATGGAGAGAATTGAGAGATTTTTTAGCAAGGTGGAGTTGGCTATCAAAAGCTTGAAATTTGAATGAAATGAGGGCTCTATTTATAGAGTTTAGGATTGGGATTAGTGGTAATTTGGTAATTGATTCTTGGAGCCAAAATTTGAATTAATGATAATTCTTTCAAATATTAGAGCCAAAATTTGAATTAATGATAATTCTTCTTAAAAATGAAAGATTGGCACTAAAATTTGAATTAATGGTACATCTTTCAAAAATGAAGGAAAATTGGAGCCAAAATTTGACAAGTTTAAAATTGCTGTTTTTTTCAAATTTTCACGTTGTGCAATCGATTGCACTATAGTGCAAATCGATTTGCACAGTGTCTTTTTTAAAAAATGGCGCAAAATGCATTGTGTGTAATCGATTGCACTCTAAGAGAAATCGATTGCATTAGTGAAAAAAAATGAATTTTTGTTAATTTTTTTTTTGCAAATAGAGATTTTAGGAAAATAATACCAGAAATCCTTATTTGTCAGATGCTTCGACTTGGTACCTACAAAACACAAATATGCAAAGACAAAGACAAATATTTTTTGTATTTTTATTAGAAGTTAGTCAACAACACATATACAAAATACACAACTAAGGTGCTTGGAGATTCCTCAAGAGCAAACTTAAAGATAGGAGATAGAAAAAGAGGAAGAACCAACCCTAATGTAATCTTGTTATGATCGAGTTGATATGATATGATAGAGGAATCTTAGGGGCAAAAATTGGGGTACAACAGCTGCCCTTATTTAAGTGTCTTCTATCCAGAGATACGAAGGTTAAAAATCTTTGTGTCGACGCGATTGAAGATACTTAAATATAAAACAAGCCTTATTTTTGTCCCTAAGATGTCATGCAATGCTTATGATTATTAATGCATATGAACAGAACAAAAGAGACGCAAAGTAACACTGGGGATGGCACAAAAATGAAGAAACAAAGGAGCAACCCCACCAGTAAAATAAATCAATGGTGGACCAAAAGAATTGAATCAGAGAGGAAGATAACAAGAATCGACGTTCACTGCCGATGGTCTACCAACATTCACTGAAGGTAGAAAGAGAAAATATCATATCACCGCCATTCACTAACGATGAAATATCAACGTTCACTGAAGATAGAAAAAAGATAACAAACACCGGCGTTCACTGTCGATGTACTACCAACTTTCACTAAAGGTAGAGAGAAAATATCATATCATCGTCGTTCACTGACGATGAACTATCAATGTTCACTGAAGATAGCAAAAATATAACAAACACCGACATTCACTATCGATGTACTACAAATGTTCACTAAAGGTAGAGAGAGAAAATATATCATATCATCGCCGTTCACTGACGATGAACTATCAACATTCACTGAAGATAGCAAAAAGATAACAAACACTGACGTTCACTGCCGATGTACTACCAACGTTCACTGAAGGTAGAGAGAGAAAATATATCATATCACCACCGTTCAATGATGATGAACTATCAACGTTCACTGAAGATAGAAAAAAGATAACAAACACCGGCGTTCACTGCCGAAGTACTACCAACATTCACTGAAGGTAGAAAGAGAATATCATATCATCGTCGTTCACTGACGATGAACTATCAATGTTCACTGAAGATAGCAAAAAGATAACAAACACCTCCGTTCACTGCCGATGTACTACCAACATTCACTGAAGGTAGAGAGAAAATATATCATATCACCGCCGTTCACTGACGATGAACTATCAACGTTCACTGAAGATAGCAAAAAGATAACAAACACCGATGTTCACTGCCGATGTACTATCAACGTTCACTGAAGGTAGAGAGAAAATATCATATCACCGTCGTTCACTGACGATGAACTATCAACATTCACTAAAGATATCAAAAAGATAGCAAACATCGACGTTCACTGCCAATGTACTACCAACGTTCACTAAAGGTAGAGAGAAAATATATCATATCACAGCCGTTCACTGACGATGAACTATCAACATTCACTGATGATAGCAAAAAGATAAAAAAAACACCGATGTTCACTTCCGATGTACTACCAACGTTCACTGAAGGTATAAAGAGAAAATATCAAGTTATCCCAAAATTCTGGTGTTTTACCTAAAACGGGTCTCAACTTTTTCTTTAACCAAGGCATTCTTCCTGGAAAGGGTAAAATGTAAGTTGTCTCAAATAAAGAGACTTCCACTTGCAAATATTTCACAACGAGCAATTTCTATGAATTTGAAAGTCTTGCCATCCACTGGCGTAAACTGACGACAGACTGCAAACTAACCACTCATTGTGGAAATAGAAAAAACAAGTTACGTTGACTTGTACAGGGAAGAACGAGTTGCTCAAATAAAGAGACTTGTTGCTTGTTATCATGGAGGATTGTAAAAAGAAACGACTTTCTGGGGATAGAAATATGGCTTCCTGGAGAAAGAGATATGACTTCCTGGGAAAAGAGATATGACTTCCTGGGGAAATGCCACGATATTCCTGCTGAGGAAATAAAGTCTTCTCGTGCAAAATAAATGCACAAACCAAAACTCAAAGTTCTCAGAAATCCAATATTGTCATGCAACCATAAATCCAATTCAGAAATAAACTGGAGCAAGACGGCCAATGCAGATACCTCCTTTGAGAAATAAACTCAAGAGGGAAAACCAAATTCAACTAAGCAAAGAGCGATGCAGGAAGATCAGAACACAATATCAATGAACGATGTTTTTTAGCAATGCATGATGTATGTATAAATGTATGAGTGATATCGTGCATATGCTGGTAAATGTATACATAATCAGTACAAACAAACAAAACCGCCTCAGGTACTAACAACGTTGGGCCAAACTTCAACCAGAAAGATCAATCCAAGAAAGGTAAAAGCAACTGCGGAAACCAAACCTATTGATTGCCTTAACTTCACTGAGAAGAAACATAATCCGGATGTAGCCAAATCAAATAGATACCGGGATAGAACATCCTTCTTCCGCTTTCATCGAAGAATCAGTTTTTCAAAAGCAACATGCCTACTAGAGATTACAAGACCAACCTCAAATAAAGCAGACTGACGCCGACACAACCAAACCTCATTGGCGGATTAAAGTCTACCTCCCTGGAGAAAAAACTGCGGATTGAAAACTTTTCATCACGAATACTCATTCCAACAAGAGATGCCCTGGGATAACCTTCCCGGGAAATCAAGAAGTCAACACTAATGCCAATACTACAAAAAGAGCGATATCTTAGCACACCAAGGGAATAAAACCTTTCATCATATGAGGGACAACTTCGATGGGGAATCTGGGACGGAGGCTTCTGACCATGCAAACCCAAAATCAAAATCGAACCAACACTTGGCCGGGGATAATGGATTTACAAACCCAATATTGTACCTTACACCCACTAGTATCGTCTTTAACTATCTGAGAAACAAAGATTACGCACATACCAGCAAAATGACCTGAGAGAACCTTCCTGGGGAACCAAGAAGTTAACAGTACAGTAAGAAGTCAAAATTATGGGGATTTTAAATCAAACTCAACACTTGGTGAGAGAAAACCCAAAAAATTGACAATTGTCTCAACACTTCTTAGAAAATATACTGCCCTTGTGTAATACCCCAAATTTGTCCTACCCCTTTTACTTTTATCTGGTTTATGCATTGTCGCGCTTTTCTCATGTGCATATCTCCATTAGGTCATTTAACATTGCATACATTCGCTAACAACATAATTTGGCATGGAATCAGTGATATATTGGAATTAGGGTTTCTATGGCTTTGATGGTCGTCATCTTCACTCAGGCTTGAATCAGTTGGTTTCCGAGTAACTGTGGTTTATGGAACTAGGGTTTGGATTCTTAATTATTGTGAACTTCTCCCCCATCAAGCTATAAGGTTTCCATCCTCGTCAAGGGCAACATCACTAGGGTTTCACTAAAGATCTTGAATATCTTCTTCAGGGGTCCAAGACGTCGTTATTCTAGTGCTCATATAGTCGGGACATGGTACAAGATGTGGGTTGTAATCAAGGTGTCATTATTTCTAATACTTGTTGCTTGACACACAAGTTTGGTTTATATTGAGAAAGTGAATTGAATTAGGGATTCATTGAAGTTGTAATTCGATTGGAACTCGTTCATTAAGATGTGAAGAGGATTTGGGGTGAATAAAAGTTCTTAAATATTTGTGTGGGATTTCTTAGAATAAAAAGGCATGTATCAAACTCATTTGTTTCATCTAACAATCAAAGTGTCATCCAAACAGTCATTCAAGAACTCATTAAAGATTCAAGTCTCTTCGTGATTACCTCGCAAAAATTTTGGATTCGTGCCATGATTATTTGAATTCATACAAAGGCGTCTAAAGGGAATATTGAAGGGAAAGGAATTTGGAAGTTCAAAATCAATTTGAAAGTTCAAGGTTACAAATGAATTACATCATCCAATTTTCAAGTTACAATTCATTAAGGCATTTCATTCAAAGTTCAAGATCATTGGAAAAAAACAATTTGAAAATACTTCCAATCATGGTCATTCAAACTCCAAACGAGTTACAAGCTTTTGTTCCTTAACATTTGTGAAAAAATTGAAAACTACAATACATGGTGATTAACCTAAACCTAATGTTCTACATCTTCAATACTCCATAACCAACCTCCACCTTCAATCTTCTTCACGTTGCTCAAGTTCTGAGATCTACATGTACCAACATTTCAGGCCTTTCATGTTTCAAGCCTTCATCATAGTCCAAATAATCGGCCCTGCATATTTTAGAAAAATTAGAAATTAAACAAAACACCCTAACCATAATCTCCAAATATAACCCCTAACTGCCTTAAAAAGAAATTTCAGCCAAGAGAAAAAAAATAGAATTTCTTAACCGAAACAAAATTTCACCCAACCATTTTCCAAACTACCCAGTAATTGAATCCCAGCTTAACAAAAAATGACCTGCATAATGAAAAGCCAATTCAGAATTTAACCATATAACTAACTTCTATAACTGATTCCTAACAGAATTTTAGACTTAACCAATCTCAAACAAAATAACAAACCTCCTAACCACCAATAACAAACTTCCAAAAAAACCTCTAACTGGAAGAACAACCTATAACCAACTCTCATCATAACCGATTTTTTTCTCCAATTTCCAACTTCTAACCATAACAACCTCTAACTATATGCTAGCAAAAAACTTCCAACAGAACAGAAGAAACAAAAGGGATAACAGAAAAAGGCAAAGAGAGGAAGGTTCACGATTGAGAATAGAAAAAGTCAGAAAATCAGGATACTCACCTTTCAACCTCATTCTCTCGGCAAGCTACATCTCCCATCATCATCTTTGACCTCACTCTCAATCTCCATTCTCTTTCTACAAATCTCCATTCTCTTTCTGCAATTCCTCACCATCTATCCCTTCATCATCATCCTAGTTCTTCAGCCTTCATCATTTTCAATCAATGCTAGTTCTCTCAGTTTAACATCTTCTTCTTCTTTATCGCACACCTCACGCACCTCTGTAATCTCAACAACATCACAACATAAGAATCACCTTCAATCTCGTTTTCTCTCTGAAAACTACACAGCAACACCTCTTCATCACTTTCATTTCGCCTTAAGCGCTTCAACCTTCACTACAACAACCACAACAATTTCTTAGAAACGAAAATGCAATAACAAGTTTTGGAATCGCATAAAAAGAAGAAGAATTTGTAGAAGGAGATTTCGTAACAGAAAACGAGAAGAGCATGAAGACGGTTACCTGGAGACATTTTTGTTTCTATGCTTGATTTTGACGCCGTCAAAGACACGCCGGACGTTCTCCGGCAGATTTTCATAGATCCAGTTTCCGTTTTCTATTTCGAATCTCAGAATTGAGAGAATGAGGTAACTGTGACTAAAATAAAATGTTGATGAAGATCGTGTGAAACAAAGTGAATCGTGAATTGAGATGAATCTTGACGAAGGTGAATCAGATCGAGGAGAACAGAGGCAGAGGTAAATCGCTGAAGCCATGAAGGAAGGATGATGGTAGCAAGCGCGATGATGGCGTCTTGCTGAGACGATGAAAGAAGGCTGAAGCGGATCAAAGATGGCGATTGAAGTGAGACGGCGTCGGAGAGAAGCAGGGGAGTTTGAGACGACGATCTGAGAACGAAGCAGTCGCCCAACCCTAATCCCTTTTTATTTTCATGTTTTTTTTAATTTTATCAGTTTTAATTTTTATTTTATTTTTAATAGCATAACAATGAAGAAAAATTGAGTTCAATAAACAAACAAAGTTGGACTGGGTTGATAGTCCATTTGAGGTTGGGCCGATTTTCTCCCCGGCTAGGCCCATCACTTTTTTCTGGTGGTCTTTTATTTGCAAAAATGGCTTATTGGACTATTCCCTATGGCCCTAGCACCCTTGCTACACTACACACCTAATCCAGATTTTAACACCCCTCTGTTTTAGATTTAATTGTTTTTTCTCCTTAGTATACTCTTCTCATAACATTGATGATAAGAGACATACAAAAATAGTAGAAATTCTTATTGATTTTAGAAATCCTCTTTTAGAATTTTCATTAGAGTTTTCTATTATTTTCATGTTTAATAATAATTTTGTTGTCATGTTTTGCTAAGAGTTCGTGATAGTATCGATGTAATCTTTCGCGATTGGGAATATTTGGAGATTAATTTTTGATCACTCATGCGGAGCAACTTCTGTAGAGTTTTCTTATCACTTGCGTGGCTTCGAAGAGGCAACAAACCTTCTTCGTTCGGTATCGTTATGTATCTATTTTATTCTTCATTTCCGCATTTTACCGCTTTCTAGATATCATGTGAAGTAGGAAATAAAGAGCGTGCGCTCGAAGTCGCTGTTTAAAGACCTGTAGCAGGCATTCCACACTTCATTTGCTATATGTGTTGTGCTTGTGTTTGTTTACGTTCTTGTTGATCGATGAGTCACTCAATTTAGCAATTGAGATCACGACTTCGCTCTCAGTGCATGCTCCCTATAGGATTTTATCGCTTTCCATCCTTTCTTGTTGATCGATGAGTCACTCAATTTAGAAATTGAGATCACGACTTCGCTCTCATTGCATGCTCCCTATAGGATAGTTTTTTAGACTTTTCTTCAACATACTAACCTAGGCAGGATCTCTTTAGGTGTGATTTTTTGATAGCTTGCTTGCTTCATCCATGTACATACCATGTTCCCTTAGGATGCGCTTGCTCCGTTCGGACGCAAGATAGACCTTAGATTGCAAACCATGCATGCTAACATTAGGTAGAAATTTCCCCTTTCATCCTTGACGTAGGTTTACCATTGCATGATAATATTAGGTTAGAGATAGGCTAGTCTCCCATAGACTCTTTTCTTTCCCTTTTGCATGTGCATTCAAAACAAAAACTTCTTTTCTTAGAAAATCAAAACATGCTAATCATACTTAAACCCTTTTTCAAGGTAACAAAACACAAAACAAATTCAAACCATTTTGTGCGCTCCAGCACCTTTTCTCTAAAACCCTTTTCGGGTAAGGACATGATTAGTTTACTTCTGTGCCAACGCATAAGTCTCCAAAGGTCGAGCTGCGACAGAAGGCGGGATTAACATTGTCCATAAAAAACATAAACAAACAAAACATATAAGCCGAACTACGGTAGCTATGATTCCTCAAAAAGGATACGTAGGCATTGGGGTAGGGCCCAGGCGAGCACAATTTTATTTTCCCTACATTCTTTTCTCCTTTATTTTGCATGCATTCCTTTCAGTAGTATAGTAAACAGTAAGCATAGATTAAACACACCCATAAGATAGACAACAAGAGTGGATACCGTAGAGTACTACGGGCGTGTGGGGTACTAATACCTTCCCCTCGCGTAATAGACTCCCTTACCCGATCTCTCGGTCGCAAGACCGTGACTTCTCCCTTTTCAGGTTTTCTCGATGTTTACCTTTCCCTACATGTGGGATAAAAGATGTTCGATGGCGACTTCATTATTTTGATGATTTTCAGCCGGTTGTTTCACCTTGTCTATCTACTTGGGAAGAACATAATGTTTTACCCCAAAATTTTCCCTCCCATATTTCTCAAAACATTGCAAGAAAGATCCCTAAGTTGCTCAAGGTTGCTCAAGAGTTGGTCAGACAAGCTATCTCCTAAGGCAGTTTACCCCAAATTAGGGTTTTGTGTTGCATCAATACCCTTTAATCCAAATGACCCCAAGTGCTCACCAATGTCCTAATATGTTCTCAATATCATCCATGTCAAGTTTCAAGCCTTGCAGAGAAAGTTTGCTCAGTCAATTGCTCAAAAGTCCAAAAATCGATGGTGTTAGGGTAAAAGTCAACTGTGACCCAAATACAGTCAAACTTCAGGATTTTTGTCAACATTATCATTTTGAAGGATATTTCATCATTTGATCAAGGTTTGATCATGATTCATCAAGGATTGCTCACAATTCATCAAGATTCAAAAGTTGCTAAATTAGGGTTTTGTAGGAAAAGTCAACCCAACTTTGACCAAGCATAACTTTATCATACTTTATGAGAAATGACCCATCCAAAGCTCATTTTGAATAGGATGCAAATCCCTACAATCCATATTCATACCCCAAGATCAAAATATCCACTCACAAGAAGTTGTGAATTTGGACATTATAGGTCATTTTGAAAAGTCAACAAAAACACCTTTTTTATCAAAGCTCATAACTTTAGCATGGAATATTAAAATGATATGAGACCAAAAAGGTTGATTAGAGGACATCTCAAGCTTTCTAAAAAGTCCAAGAACATCTCCAAAAGTTCAAAATTTAAGAAGTTATGCATTGTTCAATTTGGACTTTTTTGAAAAATTGCCAAAAGTCAACTATCCCCAAAACTTCAAATTTTGCCTAATGGGCCCATTCTTTTCCACTTGATTTGAGTTTGCATTATTGCCCACGTGCCCTAGCTCCAGCCATGTGTCCATATCACATTTTTATTTTTTAAATTTGATTTTTATTTGCATTAATCCATTTTAAATCAAATAAAATCACATAAAATCTAAAGCATTGATAACATATGATTTTTTTGGATATTTCAGGCTCCAAATACAGCTACTATTTCAATTGAATTCGTATCAAAGGAATTGGTTACAAGAATATATTATTTGGATCAAATTTGGAAAGGTTTTCATGGAGAATCAAATCAAATATGCAATCATCACTGTGGGAAGATTTGGACCAAGTTTTTCACCCTAATCCAATGTACAATACATAAGGAAGCAAAGCACACGAAAATCAGGGTTGGCAATCACTTGTAGAGGCTGAACAACTTTGCAAAAAATCACAAAAAAGTTGGAGATCGAAATCAAAGTTAGAGGCGTTTTCAGGACTTGAGACTTGTCTCAATCTATTGTTGGTCGTCTCCACAAGCTAACTCGATCCAAACCACGCTTCTCAGGCCCTTATACGCATTGTAAGTCCTTCGGAAAACCGTCCTGTTCTTGTTTTCGATTCGCATGATTCTGGCATCCATTTAGTGAAATAATTGTATATTTGTGATCACAAGAACATTTGCAGGCTTTTGGCATCGTTTAATTTCATTTATCTGATATGTATTGCAATCCACCATAGCTAGGGTTTGCTTGGAAATTTTGGGAGTTTTTGTTTCAGGTAAAATTGAGACACATGATGGACATGGTTGTATCCAGGAGGATGAGACGAACACGACCATGTCCTTAGAAATTGTTTTCATGGCCTGGAGTGGATTTTAGAACAAGGCTGTGCTTTTAGCTGCGGATACAAATCCGCAGGTAAATTTACAGTGTTTAAGAGGACAGGGACGATGAGGTGTCCTCCGTCCATTGGGCTATTCAAAAGTTGCACGCGTTTTTTGTTGTTCTGTCCATTGACTTTTTTTTAATATTATTATTTCATTGTATTATTAATAACAAAACAACAACGTGCTTCAGCGGTTGCCACATAGGCCATAAAGGACCCAAAGGCTGGAGGTCAGGGGTTCGAGCCCTTCCTCCAGCAATTTGTGTTTTCTCATTATTTTTCAGGTTATCACATGTGCGCTCAGGCTTGATCCACACCATGCTCCCTCACCAAACCAAGAGTCAGATGGCCAATGGCCAGATCTAATGCTCATTGATTGGAGGTCCACCAAGGTGTCAGTTAACTCATGTGTACCAGATCCAAAAAGTCAAACGAGCCAGCACTATTGGGCCTACAAAAATGACTTTCAGCACCTCCAAAAAAAAGCCCATCTGTTTCTTTTCATTATGTTTTCTCTTTTTAATTTAGTTATTTTATTTAATTTCAATTAATTACTAACTAATGTTTTTTTCCTTTTATCAAATAAAATCACAAAAATACTTTTTTTATCCAATCAAATTTTAAAACTTTTATTTTTATTAATAAACTCATCAATTAATTAGGATATTAATTAGGAAATTTTAACTTATTTGTATAAATAAATAAAATTAATTAGACTTAATTAGGTTTTAACTACTAATTTAATTATTTTTATTTTCTTTCTTAAAATAATAAAAACCCAAAAAATATGTCATAAATTATTTTTCATTAATTAATTTAATTAATTTAATTTAGTTATTTAATTTAGGATTTAATTTATTTCCTTAAATAAAAACGACAAAAAAAAAAGAAAGACATTTCTTTTAAAAAAGGGGGTCAAAACCCTAATCTTGCATCCGATTTAATTTTGTGGCGCGCTTTATTTTTCTTTATCCAATTATGTATCTGCTTCCGGTATGTAATAGATAATTAGGACATTTTATTTACCGTTTATTTTATTTTATTTTCAAAGGGTTGCTTTTGGCGATGTAAATACCCAACGCCTTGTAATTTAATTTCCGCATTTTTATTCCGCAAATTATATAACTGCTAAGATGTTTGATAATAGGGTTTGCATGACAAGACTGAATGCTTAATTCTAAAATCAAATTAGATCACCCTTAACATGTGCAAAGATAAAAATAACTGAAAACGACACACTCGCACATGCGCACTCTTAGGGT